AAGTACTGATATCCTATATGTGAAAAAAATATGCCTCAGTCCTAACAACATTTTGATAATTTTATACACATACTGGCAAATTTAATGATGGTACTACTCCTTTCAACAATTTGTTGTTACGTCCAACATCCTCTCGTCGAAAAGGCTTATCACAAACTCGAAAATTATTATAAACCCTCAAGTGTTCACACTGAAGCAGGTTTTCTCGCACACAACATAAAACCCATCTTTGATATATTTCTGGATACATTTGTGGGTTTGGAAATCGGTAGAAACTTCCATACCTTTGTATGCATCCACTAATGGCGCAACTTTTTGACATTTTCTGCTACAAGAAAATAAGATGCATATATATTTATTTTACAAATACCTAATCCAGTTCCATAATCAATGTTTAAATTTCAGAGGTTTTTTATGAGCATTAGTTTCCATATTATTTTAAGGGCAACTTATATTTAAAAATTTATTATGAAACTGGAGATCATAATATAATAATATGAAATAAATAAAAAAAAGTATATCAAATGTACTTACCACGAATAAAATTTCATAAATTTCTTTAAAGTTTCTAAAGTCTTTAAAAATACTGCTCGTAATATACGGAAAATACCTTGCAAAATTCGAAAACTAAACTATCAAACACAAAGCCGCATCAAAACACTAACCAACTTGACAAACAACTTAGAAAACAATAGAAAAACGAATTGACGAAACGACTACTTAAATCCTAAAATATTTATTAATTTAAACTGCCAAGATATCTAAAAAAAAGTAGATATCTACATAATATAACGCAATATAACGCCATCTATCCCGTCGGCCCAATACTAAAAATGACGTCACTTTGTACGAACACGACGTGAATAAGTGCCAGGGTATGAAAGAACTACAGCAAAGAACTCGCGCTGAAGTGGAGCAAATTAGTCCTGAAATTTTTGAGAGCAGTGTATAAAGTGTTTATACTCGTATCGGTCAATGTCAAATGGTTGGTGGAGAACAATTTGAACATTTGCGCTAAATTTTGTTTGTTTTCTTGGGTTTAATAATTATTTTTTCATTAAAGTTATGTTTTTATTTTTTAAAGTGAATGTGCTATTTTTTCAAAAAAATTGTTTTGTAAGGAGCACTATCGAAAAGCAGCAAAAAAAAGTGGGGTTGTTATTTAAAGAAAGTCATGATGACGTCATTGTTCCGAAATAGGTCACGTCATACATGACATTTTTACGTCACTAGTTGGCTTTTTTAAAAATAAAATTGGCCTGTCCGAGCATTTTTCTTGAAAATTATGAATTATGTTCCAAACTTTATCATAATACGGTATAATCAGACAACTTGATATTTTAAATACGAAAATAACACTACACTCCCGATGTTCGTTGGTGTCCTTTATTGGTATGAACGAAGAAAAAACACGTAAAAGTTAGTGGTACATTATTGTACCACCATACATTACAAGATAAATTTGAAGTGGTACATATTTGTACCACTACGCTTGAAAGGGTTTAAGAGACTCAAAAAAATATAAAAATTACAAGTTTCAAGAAAACAAATACCGGAAGCAGCTCTTCAATATAACGAAAAGCTAAGGAAGCAGCAATAAGAAAAAACGTAGAAGACGATATTGGATGTAAAAGAGATAGTAAGCTGTCATAAACTGCAAAAGTAAACGTGATTACAAAACTTAGTATAGTTAGCATGTTTATTTTCGTCTCAACTAAAGAGCTTTAAACGGCTTGGCTTTTTTGAACTTGAATATACAGTTTTAATTTCAATCGTGGTGTAAATGAAGACGGTATTGATGTAATAATTATAATACTTTTTATTTTTAAATCAAAGCCAAAAATCTATTTCCACAAAAACTTAAATATATTGATGCAGGATAAACATAAATATTATTTTTCGGAAATAGAAGGAAAGTTAAAAGAAAAACTAAATTAAACCTTTCAAAAACGGATTTTGAATTTAAAAAACATTGGTAGCGTAAACATAAACCTAATTTTCGACAAATTTATTCAAATAAATAAAAAAATTAGAATTATCTAATGAAATTAAATATAAATCTAAAATAAATATTTAAAAATTATTATGATGTTTAAAAATAAGTTCTTTTTAGTTTAATGTTTAGGGTATTCTCAAGGTCCGTTGAGTATTGGTTATAAGGTTATCCAACTCGAATAAATTAACGTTGACAAAGTGAGGTAGGAAACGTGACGTCATTGGAAGAAAAGTATAATATAATATATAGAGTGTCCACTATGTATGAAATATAGTATATATCTTGGTAAGTATCAACTTTATAAAAAAACAATTTATGCAAAAAACTTGTTTAATATTTTGTTTGCCATAATAAGGCATTCAATTGTTTTTATTTCAGAAAACAAATGAGCAACGAATAACACTTGAAGTTTTTTAAATGGCAATGTATCCTTTCGTTAGGCTCATTTGATAGAGATTTGTTTTCTCTTTATGATGACGTAAAATTTTAGTACCCTTACATCAGAAAATTTTTGCATAAAATGTAAAAATTGTTTATTAAGAAAATTTAACCAATAACATTAATCTAGATATCCGAGATCGTCAACTACNGTACAGCTGTTGATTCACCCGAGCAAAAAATTTTCTTGCCTCTTTTTTCAGATTGTCAAATTTTCCCCGCAGTTGGTCAGCGGATCTTGGGTCGGTCGTTGCTGCATTATATTCTTCCGAAATTTTTTGCCAAGTGTTATTCTAAATAGTAAACATTTTAAAAATAACCTGATTGTAACCGAAACTAGTAAGACAAATATATAAATAATCACCATAGTATATAATTTTAATTAATATTTACCTTGTTTCTTATTATTATTATATTTGTAATCTTCATTAAAAATCCGTTAAAATGAGTACAAACACGACATATTTATCTTCAATATTAATAAAGTTATGGTCAATTTTCAGTTACAAATGTCAACGTCAATTTTGACATATTTGTAATCGTCGTGAAAAATACTTTAAAATGAACCCAAACATGATACTTTTAATTCCAATATTATTCGAGATATAAGCGACTTCCGATTTGAAATGTCAATGTCATTTTGACATATTCTTAATTTTTATAAAATTTCTTAATATTTGTCACAAAAACAAAAATATAATAAAAAAAAAATAAAAAATTAAGGTTGGTATTAATATTGAAAAATTAAATTGCTATCTGCATTGTTGCTAACTTCGGGTTTAACGTTTTTTATTCTACCTTTTTTGTTTTTTGAAATAAGTGCGTCATCTTTGGACTCATTTTAAAGGTTTTTTAATGAAGATGACAAATATGCCAAAACTGACGTTGACGTTTCAAACCGGAAGTGATTGTATTTCCATTAATATTAAAGTTAAATATGTCGAGTTTGGCCTCATTTTAAAGATTATTTTATGAAGATTACGAATATAATAAAATTAAAGTTGACATTGACAACTGAAAGTTTTTTTTACAACTAAACCAGCCTTTTCTAAGTTCTTGTCCGGCTAAACCTAAAACTTTCTAGTTCTAGGTCTAGTTTAGTTCTAGTTTTAATTGTTATTTAACCCTAAATTCTTGTACATTTTAATTGATCTAAAAAAAATTTTTTCTTATTTAATCCACTTACCTTGCTTATAATTTCATCCATTTACCCATTTTGAATTAAATACAACCTTTAAATCCAATCAATTATGTGTTTTTCATTAAAAAAACTTAAATTCAACGTCAATTTTGACAAACAACTGCAATATTTGGATTTTAATCACCATGGTAACCGAGTCAAGTTGGATAACCTTAAAATAATAAAATTTTATTTCGATTTTTTTACCAATTCTAACCTAATTTTTATTAATTTTAAAACAATTCTAATTCTTATCTCGCATTCATAACAAATTCGTTTATTGTAGTTAATTTAAATCGATTCTAATTAAGAGAAATAAATTAAAAATATCTTTTTGATTTAATCCACTTACCTTGTTTATAATACCCTAGATAAACCAATTTTGAGTTAAATACAGCCTTTTAAAGCAATTAAATGAAACTTTTTCCTTAAAAAAACTTAAATTCAATTTCAATTTTGACAAGCACCTGCAATATTTGGATCTTAATCACCATAGCAACCGAGTCAAGTTGGACGTTGGACAACCTAACAATAATAAAATTATAACCGTTAATATTTCGCTTTATATTTTAATATGTTTTTAATTTTATTTTTTCTTTTTTTTATATTTTTGTATATTGCTTCTTAAGTGAAATACACTGTATAAATAAAAACATAGAAAAGTCAATTCTTCCAATGACGTCACAGCAAGGCCTTTGCGGGGGGATACGTTCATATGGAGTTGGATAACCTTATACAGTATGTTTACTCAACGGACCTTGTGTATTCTAGGGATTTCTAATTTATTTTTATTTGGTTGGTAGCTTTGTGATAGAATAGGGTGGCATACTTGGAGTAGGGTTAAAGCACTCACGTGTTCTTGATGTTCTTTCATCTAACCTAAATCGAACATAATGGATGTATCGGACGATAATTTGTGGATCCTCGGAGGTTAACTACAACAAACGTTACGCCCTGATGTTAATATACGAAACTAAGGTAAAAATCAAATAATTAATAACATAGTAACCGCAAAAAAGAACATTTTTATATAAACAAATGTAAATAACCTCTTTTTACTTACTTATTTGTAGCAGAAAAGTGTTTGGAAGGAATTGAAGTGAATCAAAACTATCCACTTCTCCTAGTACTTCTTGTTCATACCAATGATATTCAGATGGAAATATGTGTTGCTGAATCTATTGCTTTTGAGAATTATATTAAAAGGAATTGGAGTGTAGATGAGGATCAACCTGATCTGATATATAAGATAATACAAAAGCAACTAAGTGATGCTATCAGTATTATTGAAAACACTGATTTCCCATTAACATGGCCCAAATTAATTCCTCAGATGATTGAAACATTTTCTACCGATGTTATTAATGGAATTTTATGTACAGGGGGGCATTCATTGTTCAAGAAATATAGGTATGAGTTTAAGTCCAATGAGTTATGGATGGAGATTAAATATGTTTTGGAGAAATTAGCTCAACCACTTACAGATTTATTATTGGTAATAATTATTTTTATTACAATAAATTATTTTATTAATAAATTATGTTCGTTTTTAGGCAATTTTTTTTACCAAAAAAGTTGAGATGCATCAACTTTACAGTTTCAGTCTCAATTCATCTCAAGATTTTATTTCAAAATTACTTGATGATGTCAAATTTATTTATAATGAATACTTCAAAACCGTAAAACCAATGCTACCTTTAACAGTCAATGAGCAACAGAAAATCATAACCGCAAAATTTTTAATGTATTGGGACGCTAATAATTTATATGGGTGGGAAATGTCTCAATTAATTCCTGTTTCCAATTTTAAATGGTTCACTAAAAATGAAATAAAAAATTTAGATTTTAATAATGTAACCTATATTCATTCTGATTTTGGATGTATTTTAGCTGTACACTGTGTTAATTAATTATTGTATCCGACGTCATCATTGCAGGTATGCAACCAATATCACAGTATTATCGTATGTAATACGTAAATCGCGTGTTGCAATACCAATACTGTGATATTGGTTGCATACTTGCAATGATGACGTAGGGTACGATAATTAATCCACACACTGTAAATATTGAATATCCCAAAGTTTTACATGATTTACATAATGATCCTGGCTGAAAACTTTTTTTTATTTAATAAGAAAAATTACATTCATTATAGAAATTTAAAACAAACTGTAGCTCACGATCTTAAAGTTTGCAAAATTAATAGAGTTTTATCGTTTAGGCAGTCGACTTGGTTGAAATCTTACATTGACAAAAATACGGAATTACGTCAATCAGCTAAAAACATGTTTGAAAAAGACTTTTTTAAATTAATGAATATTCGGTTTTTGGTAAAGTTGATAAGTTTAGTTGATGAGAGAGTCGTTGTAAGATTAGTTGGGATGATAACCATACTAACGTCATAACAGGTCGACCGCGTCTTCGTGCGCGGAAACGTTTTCGGCTATTCAAATGGAACGTCTTCACGTCGTTTACGATAAACCTCTATATGTTGGTTTTACGGTTTTAGAGCTCGAAATTATTAATGTACAATTTTTTAATGATTTTTTAAAACCCAAGTATGGTGAAGGTATTTGGTTATGCTACATGGATACGGATAGCTTCACCGTATTAATTGTCACAAACTAGCTCTCGAGAACTTCTCGTTTCCCGTAGTGGGTTTTCCTAGCTAGGTCCACGGAGCGGCTCGCGTACCCAACTGTCCACGCACTACCCTTTTCTTGATAGCTAGCAATGACTAAGTTAGGGGTCGTTCACTGCATTCGTTTACTTGAAAGCGAACGGCAGTAATTTAGAATTAAGAATAAAAATAGATTGAAAGAAAACGAAATTTCACTGTTAAAGAATAAATTTACTTTATTTTTAAAAAGGAACGAATTATATTATATAAAAAAACAACTGAACAAAGATTTTAAAAAGTAAAAATTATACGACGTAATCTATTCAACAATTTAGCTTTGATACATTTACTCTTATTACGAAATTTGCCGAGGTGGTTAGCAGGTTCAATGAGAAATCAGATGTTGTAAGATTTTAATAATGCTCACCCATTTGTTAAAATAAAATATTCAAAGAAGAAAAAGAATCCAATACAACGAATTTTATAACTAAATTGTTATAAGTTCAAATCGCACTTCTCGAATTTAAAACACACCAAAAACTTTAATTTCCCGGTTTCGCCCAATCCCTTTTCCGTCCCAATTCCGTAACCAACTTCCTGATTTTTTCTTCATTTCTTCCCTGCTCCATCTACTCTTACTGCCACCTCGGCACATTCCTGTCAGAACCGCCATGAACAATGTATTGCGTTTACTGCTTAATCGGTTTTCTAATTCCGAAAATACTATTTGTTACAATTACTACAATGTATTACTTTTTATTTTTTAATCGCTTTCGAATCCCAATATGCGGTTTGTTACATAATTGATTCTGATGACGTGTATAAAGATATTAGATTAAATTTAAGTAAATTTGACACGTCTAACTACAGTCCTGATAATCAGTTTGACATCCTCTTGCAAAATAAAGCGGTTTTAGGTAAAATGAAGGGTGAGAATTGAAATTATGAAAGTATTTGTGGCTTTGAGATCGAAGGTGTTTGTTAATAAGGTTGCTGATGGGTGGGTTACTAAAAAATCAAAAAATTATGGGTGGGTTAATCATAAGCGATATATTTGCCATGATGAAATTAATACATTAGCTTGGGGTCATAGTATTAACAGTAGCGTTTAATCTATAAATAATTGTATTCATGTTATTTTAATTAGTATTTACTTTGTACATAGTTTTTATTTAGTTTCCCTTTTACGTAGTTTCAAAAAATAAATAATAAATGTATTGCTTAAACACATCACTTTTTTGTTCAACTGCTAAGCTTTTAATACTAAACTGAAAAGATTTCGGTGGTTCAGTGGTTCAGCTTACTGTTTTTAAAGTATTTATATTTTACCTTGTACCTAGCAGTTCACTACACATAAACAACTAAGTATTATATGTATCTATATACTTTTTCTCACATCTTTATTCAAAAGTAAATACATAGGATTGTATTTAGGATTGTTGTTAACATATTTCTGTACAAAATGACGTATTTTTTTGTTGTAAAATAGAATGTTAATCATAAAAAATTACTCAACTTTTCCATAAAAACATTTAATTTATTGAAACGAGCAACAAATCAAAAGAAAAAGTGCTACCTATTTAAAAAGAAATAATACTATTTATTATAAACATTAATTGTTATGGTTTTACAGTTCTAAACACTAATTTCAGATGAGGTCACTGAATTTTTAGTTGTTATTTCTACAGGTTGATTGCTATTGTCCTTACTTCTTGAAAGTTGTTGACCTAATATCTTCTGAGCTACTTATTTTTTATTTTCCAATGAGGTATTTATACAGCATAATATCTATATATATATATATATATATATATATGTAGGGTTTCGCTTGAATAATTCACCAAAACCCCACTAGTTCTTAATTAATTTATTATTTCTATTAACATTTAAACTCATTTGATTAACTAATTTCAACACAATACGTCTTTACTGTTAACTCGTCTTCTAACTTCTGCCTCTCCACATCTTCCATCATCTCACATCTGCTTCGGTCGATCGATCGACCCGAGCCCTTGACCGAGTACATTCGAAGGGTTTCGAGTATACCCGAATCTTTTCTACATCTCGACCATCCTGCTGGAAATTCGCCTCGAATGACTCTTCGTATTCATCATCTTCTTGTATCCAGGGCTTCATGTTATCAGCACTAGTGATGGTTTGCCTTGGTCCAGGGTGATCGCCTATTCGGTTTACTTTATATCGGTCAGGTCCATATATTGTTGTTACTTGATAAGGACCAAGAAACTTTGGTAGTAACTTTGATTCATTTTGAAATTGAGTTCTTCGAATTGCCACCAAATCTCCCGTTCTGTATACAACAGCCATCTTCCTTTTCTTATTGTACGTTTTTATATTTTTATTTTTATGCAGTATGCCTCTACTTAGGTTGTAGTTATCATAGGGTTGACTTTCGAGTATTTTTGTTATTGCTTTGATTTGATCATCTTCTCGTTGTGCCATCTGTAATTTTTCTAGTGTACTGTTTTGAATTATCATGGTTATTGGATTTCTGCTTAATGCGTCACAGTGCTTCATTCGTGAACCTGGTCGGTGTTGTATCACATAATTAAACTCTTCCAACAACAAAGCCCATCGAGCTATTCTAGTACACAAATCTTTTTTGTTCATAGTGGCCGTAAACGCCGCACAGTCTGTAATTACTTTAAACGGTATTCCAAGTAAGTATACACGAAATTTCTTCAAAGCCTCCACAATGGCCAAAACTTCCAATTCGTAGCTGTGGTATTTTCTTTGTGCATCATTTGTTTTTCTGCTCCAATAATAAACAGGGTGCAGTTCACCATTTTCACCACTTCTCTGTAATAATATCGCCCCAAATCCGTCTTGACTTGCATCAGCGTGTAACTCTGTTTCATCATTATAATTAAAAATTCTTAGTACAGGTTCTTCACACAAAAGTCGTTTGAGTCTTCCAAAAGACGTACGCTCTGCAATTCCAAAATGAAACTGCTTGTTACCCTTTAAGAGATCCGATAAAGGTTTTGCTATCAACGCATAATTTTGGATATACTTTCTGAAGTAACCCGTCAGACCCAAAAAGCTTTGAACCCTNTTCGAGGCATTTTTCATTTTTGCATATATTAGCAGTTGAACAGCACATTTTTTGGACCACTTGAGATGGGGTGTTTTCTTTGATAATGTCTAAGATCCCTAGCTTATGCACCAAAAGATTCATGTTAGTGTGGGTAACACATAAACAAGTATCTCTTTGGCGTGCTGTAGGCTGCACAATCCAAAATGGTCTCATTCGACAAAATGTGGAGTAACCGATGCGCAATTTTGAGTATATTTTATTAAATTTTCTATGCAAATTCTGTAGGGAATCGTTCAAGTAGCGTTTTTGTTGTTTGTTTTTCTTGTATGTTATCGTGTCCTTTTTCCCAGGACAGAGTCTGCTGTTTTCGTGTTTTTCTAAATATGTACGAACTGTTTTTCTGAAGGAAATATTATTCAATGGGCGCTGTACTTATAGTACTTTCTATGTCCGATTTACGAGGCTTCCGAGTTTCACGTTTTTTATACTTTTGTATAAGTTTTTTCGCTTGTGCAATTTCTTTCTGGAGTACATTTACCTTGTTTTGGAGTTTATTATTTACATTTTTGGCCCTTAAAAGCATAGAACTTGATGGTGTAGAGTTGTGGTTCTTTAAAGCAACTGCCTTTTTTGCTTGGTAATGTTTTTTACTATGTTCCCTCAATTTTTTCCTTTTATGTCTTTTATCTCGATCTGTTAACTGTGATGTCTTTTTTATTTTACCGCAGCTAACTCTGTGGTGATACCGCTCTCTTTCCTTCAATTTAGCAATTTCATAAGCCTCAGGATCTTCTTTTCGTTGCGCCCTTAGTTTTCTCATAGCATCTCTCTTCTTTTGATTGCATAATTTCTTTTTCTTTGATGTTGTAACCGCTGTTTCACTTAAGGCCTTACCTATAATTTTTACCATCTAGCACAAAAGAATAATAAAAGGTAAAATCGAAATTACACTCAAAATTAGATCTCGTCTAAAGCAAAAGAAACATGATGCATATAAATTTGGAAATTATAGCATTTGAGCGCTGTTCTATTTTTTTTTTTAGCTTAACTAAATATTGGATACATTGAAAATAAAATATTTACAGTTACATAATGCATTATAACTGTTAAATGTGACTGTAAATGTTCCTGCCTAACATTAGTAACGGAGATGAGAAAACGCGCTTTCAAAAATATTTAAAATTAAACTGAATTTGATTTTATGTTGATAGTTGCATACCGTGTTCGTATACTTTTTACTAATACACTTAATGTAATTACAGTAAGAAATCACTTAAACTTTACTTTTTATGACAGGTAACGGAGTTGAGAATCCGAATGGTCAGAAAAATATTTGTAGAAATCAATCAAAATCTTGAATATATTCAGCGTGTCAATTTAATATTTTTTGACAGTTATAGTGTCGTACTAATATCAACTTCCCTCTGCAGTGTTTACAATGAGCCGGGTAACCATGACGACACGAATATTTATATTAGAAGATGTGGTAACGGAGTTGAGATTAAAACGAGGGACACAACATTTTCGAGATTAATTTAAAACCAAAATGTATAAGAAATTGCAAACCATCTTCAAATCGATTTGTTAATTACCCCATATAAAAAAGACAGTAATAAAATGATATAATACTATTTTATTTCCGATTTAGAAATAGTTTTAGTTGCAGTTTTACCNTATCTTTGTGATCTGTAGCACGGAAAAGAGCGTTTCCAGAAGTCCTTAAACTATCTGAACCGGCAACACTCCATAATCAAATTTATCATAGAAACGGAAGCTGCAAATTAGTTACCTTTTGTGACGAAAGGCGTGGAGCTGAAAATTACTACCAAAGGATGACAAGAGATGCTATAGAGGTCTATTGACACAGGAGTAACATGCAACGAGAAGACGGCTGGGATCTTAACACTTTATCGACCGCTAGCCTATTAATCGGCTTTTAGTTATCGACGGGTTTCGTCTGACTATTGTCTGAGACAAACAAACGTGTAATAATAATAATAATAATAATTTTATTGAATAAGTATGATTATACATTATTCTCGTCAATAATATACAGTTCGTAAGACTCAAAATATTACAATATTGCAAACAATTATTAATTTTTTTTTTTATATATTTGGAAAGTTTTTGTCCGCAAGGTATTCCTCAATTGAATAATACTCTTTTTCCAATAATATTCGTT